TTGAACAAAGTATTCTACTGGAATAGTTATACTGATGTCAGTGCTGGAGCTAGCTCAGCAGAACTAGCTCAAATATCTATGTTACAGGAATATTTTATGAAGTAATCATATTAGTGAAAAAAACCTACATTATGAACCATCTGTTCCGTGAAAATATGTTTGTTCACTGAGGTGACTTTATAAAGTTTTATTTTGTAAAATTCCCATTTTCCCTTGCCGCTTTTTACCTCAGAATAGGCCTAAGTACAGTTCATCCAGGAAAAAATAATGATATGCAGATACTTACCTGAGAATGTGCTCTTAAACACAATTTGCCTTTCTAAATTTTGTGTCCACAGCTCCAAAACAAGGAATTAAAGAGCGAAAGGATAGACTTTCAAGCTTATAAATTCAGGTTAATGCAACCTTTTTTCCATTAGGTTATTTAGCTTCCAAATCTTTCTCTTTTCAAACCCCCCAGATTACATAATTTGAGGGTCTCAAAGACACCAGCTAGCTACTTTGAACTTGCATCATGACAGGATCCTACTTTGTGTTTCTCACTGGGACAGTATGTGTGGATTGCAGATTTCTCCTTCCTTTGTCGCATTCTGTCTCTTTTACTTCACTGGGCGTGTGGTTACTCAGCATGTGGTTAAACTGAGCCTTCTGCAGGAATAACTAAACAATCAGAATTATTCACCAAACCATTGGCTTTGGCAGAACAGGGAGGAGGGTGCTGAGGCCAATGCAGTGTGTAAATGCTCTCTCTGATAACAACCAGATTATAACTCCAAAATTCCAACAAAGAAACACAAGAGGTATGAAAATATGGTATCAATTTACCCATTTATCTCTAATGAAATTAAATAATGCATATGGGACCACATGTTTGAAGAATAAATACACATTAAAATTCTTCACAATGTGAAGATTAAGGCAATATAATTTTTTTAAAGCTTTCATCCGGGGAAAATATAGCTTACTGCTTGCTTTAAGTAAGATTAGCTGTAAAAATGTTGTGGTATACCTAGAACAAAATCTGAGTGGCAACAGGCAAATATTTTAATGTGGAAAGATTTTTCCTGTTTTTTAATTAAGAAATGACATTTTTGTTGAATGCCTTAAATCTTTAATTACTGCCCAAAAGCACTGAGCATGACATGAGTTATTTACTGAGTCACTGTGAAATACAGTTCAATATTTTCTTATAAATACTTCATATGGAAACAACAGAAGGTTCTGACTTGAAACAGCAGTGACTTTTAGTAGTACAGGTGTTTCAGGGCCTGATTTCCACCACAAGGAAGTCATTTCAGGGAATCCTAATGCCTTGTGTGGAGTTGGCTCAGGTCTTTAATGGGCATTAGCACTTGTAGGGGCTAGAGAAATGCTTTCTCAGGACTGACAATGGCCCAAAACCCAGAATCTGTCAGCAAAAGGAAGCCCTGAATATGTGTTGTGGCTTTGGGGTGGGGGGGTTGTGGCTGTTTTTTTTCTAAGAGATGTATGGATTGAAACGCCTAATGTAAAGCTTGTGAAAATTTTCAGATGACAGCCACAAGCGCTACATGCATGGATGTAACACAGAACACAGAATCATAGAATCATAGAATAGTTAGGGTTGCAAAGGACCTTAAGATCATGAAGTTCCAAGCCCCCTGCCATGGGCAGGGACACCTCACACTAAACCATGTCACCCAAGGCTCTGTGCAACCTGGTCTTGAACACTGCCAGGGATGGAGCATTCACAACCTCCCTGGGCAACCCATTCCAGTGCCTCACCACACTCACAGTAAAGAATTTCTTCCTTATATCCAATCTAAACTTCCCCTGTTTAAGTTTTAACCAGTTACCCCTTGTCCTGTCACTACAGTCCCTAATGAACAGTCCCTCCCCAGCATCCTTATAGCCTCCCTTCAGATACTGGAAGGCTGCTCTGAGGTCTCCATGCAGCCTTCTCATACATAATATGGATGAGATTTTAATAGCAGTTCAGAACTCATATTTCACAGCACTGTCAATTTACAGTACAGAGCAGTTTTGTTATGTGTATGAAAGAGTACTGTACTGCTTCTAATAATTATATATTTATGAATAGCTACAGCTAAGGTGAAGCAGTCAAGAAAACAGATATTTATGCTAGAGGTTTGCCCTTAATCTTTCATAAGGAAGGGGGCCTACAACTGAAGATTATTAATCAACTCTCCCTGAATTTTGACATCTGTGGCCTATGTAGGAAGACGGAAGGAAGCAGCAGTAATCTCACTGCTTGCATGAAGGCACCTAATCTCTGTAAGGTGGTGCATGTTTCCAAGCATCCCATGTACTTGGGGTAAAGAAAACATCGTTTTCTAGGCTCTCTAGTGGCCTACACTTGGTTCCCAATCTAGATCATGTTCTGGAGAAGTAGATTTCTCTCCTCTGACTGTATCTATCTTGCCTTCCTGAAACAAGGTAATTTGTGATTACAGTAACCAAAGAAAACAAGTGAGATCAGAACAAACCTACAGACAATACAGATCCTAATCAGATATGTGCAGTGAACATGTGAAATAGTTAGGTTATCATAGTAACATGTGGCCATTTCCTCACCTCCTTTCAAAGTAAAATGAGATATTGCCTGCAGAGGATGAACTCTGCCCAAGAACCATAATGACACTTGCTCTCATCCTTCAGATAAGTGAAAACAGTCAGACAATCTTCATCATGAATGAAGCTAGTGAAAACTACATAAGTATACCCATTCATGTTTTCTGATTTTTGCAACTATGGTTTTACTTCGTGCAGGAAAAAATGGCTTCTGAAAATGAGATCACCAGAATAGCAAAGTTTGTGACAGCAAAATGTAAGGCTAATTGTGGTTAAACTTTGTTTAAACTCTAAGACAGTGTAATTGGCAATTGACAAACCATACATACATCTGAAGTTTTTCTGAGGAATGTACTGCAGGCGTGTCTCAACAAAAGTGAAGAAGTCTTGGTCAGTTATGGTTTTAGAGACTAGACTTATGGGAATGAGAGAGAGCCCGGAGCAGTGGGAATTGGGGCAGAACCCCAGAGCTGGAGAGTTACTGCTCAGGCAGCTGAAAACATTCCCAAGTGGAAGGTGCTGGTGCTGGGGTCTCTGTGCACTGTCTGGAGTTCGTAGGGTGGACACCTCCTCCGAAAGCGTCACCTCCTGAGTGTGAGAACCTGGCTTTGTCATCACTTTTCTGTGACTTCTGATAGAATCTAGTCTTTTTATCGCAGGAAGGGGAATTTATTCTGTTAATCACAGACTAAATCCAGCTGTTCCTACTTCTGTTGGCATGAACCCAGGTGGTAGGCCCTCTAAGCAGAAAATCTGCCAACTGGAAAGTCATAATAGGAAAAAACAGCTGCTGTTTTTCGTGTTAAAATCCTGGGCATACTGTGGAGCCCAAAGCGTAGTCTTAAGTTTTACTTTCCTAACAGAAAGCTTAAGAGTGTGTGATAGTATCAATAGTACCTGATCACCACATAAATCACCTGATCACCACATAAAATATACTTCCAAAACCAGCCAGGGCTTATTTAGGACTCAGAGGCATCACATAGATGGTCCAGGAATACAATTTTAGCCTCTAGATAGTTTTTACCAACTCTGTCACAAGAGCAGTCAGCAGGACTGGAGGAACTTTATCCTATGCTTCAATGAAGTGTAGTTTCCTTATTTAGATGTTACTTATTGAGTTTTCATGAAAGAATGAAAAAACACCTAAGGCTTAACACAGGATATGCAACATTACAAAGATAAGAAACTTGCCCCTGTATCTATAAGGCTTTTTCATAAGGGTTCTCATCCACCTTTCCTCACTGGAGTAACATGTCTCATAAATCTAACATACTTGGCTAAATTCTGGCCAATGCATAATTCTATTTAATACCCCTCATAATTTTCAGACTCCTGAAGAACAGTGATATGAAAAACAATTATTTGAGACTTTAGAAGTATGCTATGCAAATGTTTTCAACAAGAATATGTTCTGAACTCTTTGGCTCTTCTTTGATTCAGGACTTTCAGTTCCTTACAAGATCAAGGCCGGGGTATAAAACTTAACACTGCATATTGTGCCTACTCTATTTAAAGAGAGAAGAAACATCTAGAAATCTCGATAACATTAACACAGAGGAGACCAAGGTGGAAGAGTTACCTTGGCTTGCTTGTGCCTTATGCTGCTGGAGGTATCAAGTTTGTAATTTAAGTGATAACGTTTTTTTTTTCCATTCCATGGGGAAAATGTTACCACATTGCTGTGTGAGTAACTTGTCCCCAACCAATTTCTAGAACAATATCTAACATCAGCTTGTGAAAGTTTCCTCCATTGAAATTCAGTATGAAGTTCACTAAGGTCTTATCCCTTGTCCACTGGAATGAAATGATAGCCTTCTATTCATCTCATTATGCATAAAATTAAGATAGAATCCAGGAAAGATGTCAGACTTTTAAAGGTATTCTTGTACTGAAAAAGTGCTTCTCCCTACTGCTTCCCCCCACAAATTCTTTGTACTTAAAATGGTAGTAGGTAACATCCTCCAATATCCAAATTTTCAGTGAGAGCAAACAGAAGATACATTTTGTGTTATACTGGTGGATGGTGAAGACAATCATATTAACATTTTAAGAGTAAAGATTTAATTATTTTGATTTCTTGAATACGTCCATCAGTCTTAATGGATAATTTTCTACAGATAAATATTATTTGCTTTTAATGTGGCATATCACACATTATCATAAGCATTTCACTGTAGCTATATTCTACATGCTCTGTTCAAGTTCTTCATGTCACCACTGTGACATGTATAGGAATTTTTTGGCATAGGTTTATGGACAGAGAGAGACCAAAATGCTTAGTAGGTAGGATGGAAGGAAGCAACTATGTACTTAGATAGTAGCTAGTGTCTGCAGCAGTTAATTCCACAATGTTATACAAGGCTAAGTAAACACTTAAAGTGAACTTTACTATTAGTACATAAATCTATTGTGCCAGAGTTCAAAAGCTGTTGATTACATTTGCCTCTGAACTTTGGTGCATTTTATAAAATTTTCAGGCCACTCAGGTACTGTAGAGATAATGGCCAAGAATTTGAATTGAAGCATTTGGAGTCACACTGATTTTTGCTTACATTACCATTTCATGAAAAAACATTTGAGGATTCTTTTTTTTTTTTTTTCATTCTTTTACAGGGCATCTTGGAAAAGTTTTAGGACATGAAGACAGAAATATTCCCAGGCTTACTCTTAGACTCCGACATGCTTTTAAACAAGCAAACAAACAGAAGAACAAATTTATTCCCAAATTTTACTGCTTTTGAATCTTTGCTAACTTTTGATTTGATTTCCTAGTAGTAAATGGCTTCAGTAAGGGTTTTTTTTTGGTGTCAGGGAGATGTATCAGAACTTTTAGAGATGGACAGTTTTCAAGATGGCATTTTCCTTTTGTACAAACTTTCTCTAATACCTGTAAAAATGACAGAAACCTTCAGAAGATTGTTTGGTTTTGCTCCCTGCATTTAGATTTCTGAGTATGTTTGTATGAGTCACAGGTTGATGACCTAAGTCTAACTCCTTGTGAAACAGCTTCCTTATTACAGAATCTATCATCACAACTGGCACTGACACCATTTCTTGAAGTGTTATCTCTGACATGATGTTATCTCTGACATGAAGGAGCAGACAAGGAACTGGTATCCTCTTTTTGTCCCTGTAAAATAATAGATAATGCCTGAAATACAGGCAGAGAGCAGTATTTGAACACCTGCTTTATTGCTCCCTGTGTGACCTTAGCTTTGAGACCCCTTTTATAAAGTCCACCTGCCTGAGTACATGAGGATAAAATAAAGACAAACTGTAGATCACTAAAATTTTCAGTAACATTGCTGTTCTTCCACTGAGAGTTTGTGACAACTGTTTGATGCCTTTTTCTCTTTGGGGTGTTTGATGTCTTCATGAAACAGCCCTGTGCAGAAATCTACACAGCATGCCCATCCCCAGCACATCTGCCCTCAGTATTGGATAATGACTGTTCACTTCATATAAAAATTAAAAGCCACAGAATGTAAGAAGAACATGCTTGATTTACTTTTGTCTGTATAAGAAGGTTTTCAAAGTTAACTTTTCCAAAGATTGGATGAGGAGAAGTACCTATTTGTGTTCCTTGACAGTTATTTTCAGATGCTTCAAATTTTGTCTAGATGCAACTGCTTGAGATGAAAAACTTTGGAAAATTTTTAACGTATTCACTCATTAACATAGAAAAATATTTTCTAGCCTAAACTTAAAATAATTATGAACTTTGCCAAATCAATGTCAAACAAGTTTGACAAAGAGGGGCTGCTGTATCTGCTGTCTATTGAAAATTTGTCTCCATATTTGCCCAAGTTCATGCAGCTAAATAAAAACTTTTTATTTTTCAGCATTACTATTCCCTGAAGAGTTCTTCTAGCCTTCTCATGCTTCAGGTTTTGCAGTGAAGATGTTGGCTGCTCCTGGCTGAAATGGGAAAGGAGTGGAAAGCTTCCTGACATAGGTGGAAAGAGAAGAAGTAGATCTCCTCACAGAAGAGATGTGTGGAAGAGCTGAGGAGTGGGAACCCAAGCTCCAGAATCTTGTGTCAAGAATTTGAAAATGAAGCTTATGTCTGTACAAGTGTTTGGAGTGAGACTCAAGATTTCGTGCCTGATTTCTAAGTTGTCCAGGTATTGCATTCATTGTGTCATCATGCTTCAGCTAATAAATATCTGCTGAAAAATAAATAAGAATTAATTGGGTGGGTTATTTTAGATTAGATAAAGCAGCTCTGGGAAGTAGGGAACTTAGTTTATCAGGACAATAAGTTAAGATAACAGGGAGTCAGGTTTTAAGAGGTTCTAGAAAATAAAGTGAAAATGGAGTCAAACACTGTTATGTAGTCAGAAATTCTAAATGGAAATATTTCTGACATTTATCAATGTCTTAGTGTTTATGTTTGCAATATAATGTTTTAGCACTGGATATATGATTAGATATGCATATGTCCCCTTCAAATTCAAGCTTGCAGTAGCATAGGCTCTTTCTACAACTTTTAAAGTGAAAAGCATATTTATAGAGAACCATATAATTCAGGATGGCAAGTATATGACAATGGATATATGACAAGCGTATGACAGATGGAAGCACTGTAAAATCTGGCTTTATCATCATTTCACTATGTTGTGCTATGAAACTGCTTGGTTTTATTTCCTCTGCATGGCACAATTTATTTAATTTCCAGGAGTCTTCTGCCTACACATGGTGGTTGCTGTTTGATGAGGCAGAGAGATACACAATTTCAGTGGAGAGAGAGACATACATGGCTCCTTATTGGGAGATATATTTTTGCCCTTAAGTTACAGGATTATTCTGATTAAAAGAATGCACTTGTCATTTATGTATGAAAACTGTCATCTTTATAGAAGCATACACATATATGCTTTTGTGTGTGAGATAATTAAAAAGTATTGTACAAATTAATTACCAAAAATGTTCAAGTTGGCTGTGCTAAGAAAGATGGTAAATGATTTCTTAAAATTTCTACTAATAAATTAGAAAAAGTACTATGTGTTTCATGATACATAGGATAAATCTGTATTTAGGTTTGCAAACAGTAACTCTATTTCTAAAATTTTACATGTGTTCCTAAATCATTTGAGAGGGAATTTAATAGATATCCTCCTTGTGTGTCTTTCAAATCCAACTATTGATGAGTAGCATGCTCGTTCTTTTCAAAATTAATATTGCCAACTTAAAAAAGTTAATGATAGAAATATCATTCTATATCTAAAGAGAGATAGCAACTTTGGCAAAGAAAAGTCTGTAAGGACAGTAAAAATAATGTTTTCCTGCTATTTTTTTGAAATATTAGTGCTATATACTTCAACTTTTCTACTGTATACCTGAATCTTAATACCCACATGACATTACACGGTATTTTATTATGGTCACAGACTCCTACTGTAACTAAGTTACGAATATATTCTATGATTCCTGTCTAGTATCTAGGTAATGAGGTGCAACATACTCATGAAAAGTGTTCACCTTAAAAACTATCTGATAATCTAATATTCACCAATCAAATATTAATAGAATTATGTATCTGTACAGTAGGTATCTTGCTTGTGGGATGAAAAAGTGGTCAGTGCTAAGTTAAAGGTAATGTCGAGTTTTATTTTCCAACATCAGTCAGTTTATGACGCAACTATTTGGGAGCTGGATCTTTGCCACAATCTTTTATATTCTAGTCGGAAGGATAACTTGGGGCTGTAATGGTCCAAAATTAGGTCTAAAAAAAGGGAAGCTTTTTAGCTAATTTAAATCTGTTAGAAATGTATCTGTATTTCTCCATTTTTCTCCTCTCTTGAAGGCATGTTTGCTGTGAGCTCTGAATTTTGTGTTTTCCACTTCAGCTTATTCATTGCATGTTCTTATTCAGGTAATAGCAGGCAACATTGCCTCTTGTCCTATGTCTTGAGAGATTTATATATCCTAGATTCTCTATTCAGCTGCCATCATTGCTGCCATACAAGAAAAAGCCTGCTGTACTGCTGGGTGTATTGAGATTATCAAGACTCTGACAATAGCCGCTAACATGCTGTTTTTTTTCAGGAACGGCAAAAGCCTAATTAATATGAAGGGTGCTGTTATAGTCATCCCATCCCAGAAAGAAGCCTGGGGGTTTTGCTCCAAATTCGCTTTTATTGTGTGGATCTTTATCAAAATTATCCCATGAGCTTGGACCCAAAGGTACTGTGTTTGAGGGTGAACCTCGTCAAAAAAAGTGCTGTTTGGTGCTTGTAATAACATTTATAGAAAAGACTTTAGAATTTCTACATACTGTTATCACTGACTCCCTGACTTAGCACTGTTGGCACCTCTGAAAGACAAATATATATATATATATATATATATACCAAATTTCTTTCCCAGGGTTTTTCAGGGAGTGAGTGCTAAAAAACTGAATGTAACTTTTCTGAGGTTAGAATCAATACACTAACTGCTGCTCACGTGGTGCTGGGAGGATATTACCTAGTCCTGGGACACCCAGTAGTAGTCAGAGAGACAAAAACCTTAGGCTCCTATTTTTGCAATAGGGATAAAATGGTCTCCAAGGTGTTGTTAAAAGGTTCTCTTGAAAAGTTCAGATCTTGTAAAATTTATATGAGATGTACTGGCTTATTCAGACTTTAATTAAAAATTGTAGAAGGGCCTTTAGTTCATTAATTGAAGATGGTTGCCTGTAAATGAGAGTTTAATTTATGCTTGTTTTTAATTGTTGGATGCCACCACAATTGGTGCTGCATAAAAATACATACAGTACATAAAATACAAATTAAAACAAGCAAAAAATTATAATCATATCAACCTAAAGGCAGGAGGCATTTTAATATCATAGTCTAGTAATGGTGCATGAATTAAGAAGGATTAATATTTCTGAGACAGTTCAGAAGTATTTAGCCTTTATTCTGCCCTTATTTAAAATGCCTTATATAATACACCTCAGTATTTTACATAATGTAAGGTTTCATAAGACATTTTGTTCTCTCCCTATGAGGTTCTTCAATAGACTGAAACACTCCTAAGATCTCAGATCTACAAACAATAATAATTCTAAACAGATCGCTTGTTCTTTGGCTTTGCATTGGTAAACTGTAATATCAATTACAGATCAGCTTCCTCAAGTTAGGGACGTGCTTTAGTTGTGGAAAGAGAAATAGATATATAGGTGGTTGTATATATAAGTAAAGACATTCCACAACAGTCAGGGCATCACAGTTATCAGCCTACTTAGCATTAAAGTGGGTTGGAAATGTGCAGCAGAAAGTGGAGTCTGCTCCACTGACAGACAAATCAGAAAGACAAGTTTCTGTAGTTCTGTGTTCTTAGGAAATAGAAAACATATATGAGCTTTATGCATGTTTTAGGACATACACTACAGAAAGAAACTGGTTCAGCAACAATGGTGCTGGCCATCAGGGAAGTATTTCACAATGTGTAGTTTTAAATATTTTACAAGTGACTGTTCAACTGGAATATCTAAGGGCTTTTCTAGATGCAACTAAGATTTTTGCAGGAAACTCACATTACCAAAAAATGAGGTCCTCACTGGCCTAAGTGTATCATAGCAGATAGTATAGCTGTTATAATAATCATAGAATACCAGGTTAAAGGGGACCTCAAGGATGATGTGATTCAGCCTTTCTTGGCAAAATATAATGTGCCTGAGCATATATTAGGAGTTTTTTATTTAAGAAACTAAGCAATAGAAGGAGGTGTAGTGAAAATTAAGAACATTCCAAAGGGCAAAAACAAATTAGAAGTCTTTCCAATTGTACAAGTTTCACAGGAGAGCAGAAGTCATGCTGCCAGATTAATGCCATTATTACACTTTTGATAAATGCTTTACATATGAATATTAACACAAGATAGCCTGGATTCAAGCTATTCACAGAGCGTAGAAACACCAACTCAGCTTCCTGAACACATCTGTCAGTGTATCCTTTGATCTTGCTTTGTAACCCATCTTCTATTTCAGTTCTGGGTTTCTGGGCCTTTCCTCTACAGTCTTCCAACAGATTATTTCAAAACATGTGGTAGCTTTGTGAAGTGAACAAACATCTACTGGGATTCTTTTTCAGAATGAGACTTTAGGATAGGAAAATTCTTTCTCTGCTGAATGGATAAAGGCACATTTGTCTTTAGGCTTTGCTTAGCTGGCATCACCAGTCCCACATCTGAGCCAGCGTTCTGCTGGATGGCAACTCAAACGTTTGAAGGAACCAAACTCTAAGAGTACCCCAAAGGAAAATGCAAATCCCCTTTTTTTTGACACCACCACTGTCAGCAAGCAGCAGAAGCACATGGCTTCCTATCCTCACAGGACATGGAGAACAAGGTAAGTAGTTTGGGCATGACAAAAGAATGAGACCAACAAAGATGCTAAGCAGCTCCTGAGGACAGCAATGTGGGTGATGCAAGACCCTTTCCCTTTCAGATTTTGCTGCAGAGCATTCACAGGAAAAAGCATGTTTCATCCCTTCCCAGAGAAATTATGCTGGTTGCTTAAAGAGCCTACTGGTTACAAACTCCAAGCCTTGCAGAGGTGAGTAGATGTGTCTGAAGAACATGGTTCCTGAATTTAAATATGAAAGCTAACTGCTGTTTATGTCAGGTTTCTTTTTGCTGAAGTTCTGACCTTTACCTAAAAATTAAAACAAACAAGGAAGAGGTGGTTATTGAAATTTATAAAGCTATGTATAGGGTTAATCAAGAACCTTTGTTGAAAATGGTGTGTCCTTTTCCTTCTTTGCCTGCAGAGGCTTCCTGGAATTTCTGGTTTAGCACCCTGATCCTTTCCCTTGTCTTTTAAGCTTTTCAAATATTTTTATTCAGTTTGGGTAAAGT